TAGTCATGCGGGGAATGAGAACGGCCAGAGTGGTTGTCCAAATTGTGCAGCAATATCAGGGGGCGGCCGACATTTAGCTGATAGCAGACTTCATGGAAAGCCCACAAACCGCAGTGAGTGTCGCCACCGGATTTAACAGTTTTATTGCAGCTACCCAGCGCATGGCTGAAATACCCCTGCAGCATAGTGGGAGGATGAATTTGGGCGCCACCACCTAGGGGAAAAACTTAAGCTGACGTGTGTGATAATATACCTGCTGGAGGAGTTCGCGTTAACATGTGTACGGATTGTCAAGGAAAGTGCAACTCTTGCCTGAGGCCCAGAGTCAACAAAAACCATGAGCGGTGATCGCGTTCAAGGCACAACGCGGCTGATTGCCTTGGCGTCCGATTGCGCGGCCATTCACGTGTATCTTCTTAAGCGCCCGTGATAACTGAACTGTCTTGGTCGCCACAACGGTGACAACAATCGTGTGTTGCAACCTATATCAGAAACGTGATACAGAACTCGTTAGTTCTTGTTATGATAGCTGAAAGCTGGCTTTTAGCTGTTGCGGACCTCGAGACTAGTAAGTTGAAGGTTTTGATGTTTTCATATCTTAAAAAGTCCTTTCAGGGTTATATTTTGAGATGACACTCGGGACGCAACGGTTTGGCTAAGGATGTTGATGGATAAGTTCCGATGTGTTTCCATTGCTAAGCGACTACTGGTGTCATGCTTTGTTAAGAAGCCTGGAGCCAGTCGGCAGATGCCTAAACCGCCTGGGGGTGGTACGGTACAAGTGGAGGGCTTCGGATGGTGGAATTGGGTTTGTAAGACAGTGAGTTTTTCACGGATTCGCGGATTGATACGCAGGATCGAGGCTTTTGCCTAAGTTTCCCCGGTTGCTTTTGTTCTTGTCAGTCAGTGGTTGTCGTTCACCTGAAAGGCACAAGTGGGAAAAGGGTGTAGCACTGCTCGTTATGTTCTCAGCGTGAGGCAGTATGCTTGCCGGCGCAAGGATTCGCATAAATAAATGTCTAACAGTGCTCTAAACTGGGTTCTAGAATGAGCGTAGACAACCGTCGGAGGAAGGTCATTCCACGCAGCTACTACCCGAAATGAGAAAAAATTTTGTCTAATGAATGTGTGCTCTGAGCTTAAAATTTTTTTTACTATGCCCTTGTCGGGTGTTTGCTGGATCAACGGTAAAAACCTGTTTGCTAAGCTTTGTTTAAACAGGGCGTAAGTAAGAATTAGGTCCCCTCGGGGGCGACGGTACTCCAGGGGAAAGTGTGCAGCAATATCAGGGGGCGGCCGACATTTAGCTGATAGCAGACTTCATGGAAAGCCCACAAACCGCAGTGAGTGTCGCCACCGGATTTAACAGTTTTATTGCAGCTACCCAGCGCATGGCTGAAATACCCCTGCAGCATAGTGGGAGGATGAATTTGGGCGCCACCACCTAGGGGAAAAACTTAAGCTGACGTGTGTGATAATATACCTGCTGGAGGAGTTCGCGTTAACATGTGTACGGATTGTCAAGGAAAGTGCAACTCTTGCCTGAGGCCCAGAGTCAACAAAAACCATGAGCGGTGATCGCGTTCAAGGCACAACGCGGCTGATTGCCTTGGCGTCCGATTGCGCGGCCATTCACGTGTATCTTCTTAAGCGCCCATGGTAACTGAACTGTCTTGGTCGCCACAACGGTGACAACAATCGTGTGTTGCAACCTATATCAGAAACGTGATACAGAACTCGTTAGTTCCTGTTATGATAGCTGAAAGTTGGCTTTTAGCTGTTGCGGACCTCGAGACTAGTAAGTTGAAGGTTTTGATGTTTTCATATCTTAAAAAGTCCTTTCAGGGTTATATTTTGAGATGACACTCGGGACGCAACGGTTTGGCTAAGGATGTTGATGGATAAGTTCCGATGTGTTTCCATTGCTAAGCGACTACTGGTGTCATGCTTTGTTAAGAAGCCTGGAGCCAGTCGGCAGATGCCTAAACCGCCTGGGGGTGGTACGGTACAAGTGGAGGGCTTCGGATGGTGGAATTGGGTTTGTAAGACAGTGAGTTTTTCACGGATTCGCGGATTGATACGCAGGATCGAGGCTTTTGCCTAAGTTTCCCCGGTTGCTTTTGTTCTTGTCAGTCAGTGGTTGTCGTTCACCTGAAAGGCACAAGTGGGAAAAGGGTGTAGCACTGCTCGTTATGTTCTCAGCGTGAGGCAGTATGCTTGCCGGCGCAAGGATTCGCATAAATAAATGTCTAACAGTGCTCTAAACTGGGTTCTAGAATGAGCGTAGACAACCGTCGGAGGAAGGTCATTCCACGCAGCTACTACCCGAAATGAGAAAAAATTTTGTCTAATGAATGTGTGCTCTGAGCTTAAAATTTTTTTTACTATGCCCTTGTCGGGTGTTTGCTGGATCAACGGTAAAAACCTGTTTGCTAAGCTTTGTTTAAACAGGGCGTAAGTAAGAATTAGGTCCCCTCGGGGGCGACGGTACTCCAGGGGAAAGAGATCAAGCATCGCGAGACGCGTTTCGTAGTCCACGGATTTGAGGCCGGCAACCATTCT